TATATATGTATATATATATATAGTACTATATATATATATATACTATATATATATATATATATATATATATATATATATACATATATATATATATACATATATATATACATGTACATATACATATATATATATATACATACATACATATATATATTTATATATATATATATATATATTCAACATGCACATACATTGTTGTCCCTCCTTGTTCGTGACCAGTAATGCCTGCGAGGCGTCTGCGATGGAGCCCCGATGTTGAGGTGGGCCGTTGTCATGGGGCATTGGAGGTGGCGTGACGCGCATTCTCTGTCACAACAGGGGTATTGAGAGTGGCGATAAGTGTGATCCCCAGACTAGCGTACTCTAGTATGATGGGTGCTTCTGTGAGAATAATCTTTGCAAGAACAGGGCGATTTTGCGTGCACGTTTCAGACACAAATACTACCGAAACAGGTACGGCTCACTGCTCATAATATGTATATCAGTTTCTATTACTATAAGTAGTTCACACAGCCAAGGAGAGTATAAGCTGGTTTAACGTACACGTTTCAGGCATACATTAGTACTAACGTTAAAGGTACTGTCTGAAGATCAACAAGTACGGTCCGCCACCTCAGAAGCAGAGACACAAGCTGAACGTATAATCAATTTCTACCAATCAAAAGTGATGTTGGGTCGTACGCTTCCATGGTCGACACACTCGATAGCGCGACCCCACTAAAAAAAAGGTCTACAGAGCAATCAAAGAGCACTCACCTGCTGGATGACTTCGTTGATAGAGCAACTTCTCACACTGGTATTCTGCAGCCCCACCCACAATGTACCATTCGCTATACCCATGCACAACACAGCCGCACCGAAGGGTATCTGTTGTTTGTGTACACAATGACGGGCAGGTGCAGGCATGTATGCACGAATGTGTAGACAGAAGTTAATATGTATACACGGGTATGTAGACAGATGTTAGTATGTATACATGGGTGTGTAGACAGATGTAAGTATGCATACATTGGTGTAGACAGATATTAATATGTATACATGGGTTTGTAGACAGATGTTAGTATGTATACATGGGTGTGTAGACAGATGTTAGTATGTATACATGGGTGTGTAGACAGATGTTAGTATGTATACATGGGTGTGTAGACAGATGTTTGTATGTATACCTGGGTGTGTAGACAGATGTTAGTATGTATACATGGGTGTGTAGACAGATGTTAGTATGTATACCTGGGTGTGTAGACAGATGTTAGTATGTATACATAGGTGTTAGTATGTATATATGGGTGTGCTCTAAAAGCACCGCACGCTCGTCTGGAAGCGATGTAGAGTAGTGCGCTGATGGTGTATATGAGAAGTATCTCCACAAGCATAACATTCCCCATACACAACACGACAACCCCAACAGGCATCTGATGGCTGTAAAGATAGTCAGGCAGATATATAAGTCTGTATACATGGGTGCACACAACATAAAAGCATATAGAAAATCATTGCTTTCTAGCATGGATTCTAGCTTAAGAGACTTGAGTACGCACGGTAGCAAGGGGACACAGAAACCCTGGTCAAGTAGCTTACCGGAGTGAACATCAACACCGTAAAACTCATAGCCTACTGGCCAACTAAAAAAAAAACGACCTTTTGCTATTACATTATATAACAGTGGTGCGCAAAGCACACATTACGCCATGGGTTATATAAGCTTATATACATGGGGGTATATAAGCATATATACATGGGGGTATATAGCATATATACATGGGGGTATATAAGCATATATACATGGGGGTATATAAGCATATATACTTGGGTGGGCACTAAAGAGTGCAGAACGATGCAGGCTTCATACAAGAAAGGTGCATTGGAGATGTATCTGTATGCGTACAGAACTGTCCATACACAATACACCCGCACCAAAGGGTGCGCGATCTTCGATAAGAGCATTGATGCAGGTATGAAACGTATATTTACATGTGAAACGTATATTTGCATGAGAAATATCTGCTTGCGTTTGCAACTGCCTGCGTAATACGGCTATCTCGATGAGTGCCGATTTGAGAAGTTATATTTATTCAGATATACCTGTGAAGTATCTGCAAGAGCACATGATAACGGCTGCACCAATGATCAGCCGATAGTCGCGCGCGCAAAACATAAAAGTTGTTTTTGGGCGGAAAACCCTGAACGATGTACCAAAAGAACACAAGCAAAGATATATATGAACACGTTCACCAGAAGGGTAATACATTTATACCTAAGGGTAATACATTTGAAAGAACACAAGCAAAGATATATATGAACACGTTCACCAATACATTTATACCTCAGGCAGCAACAATAATGTCGCCGTATTCCAGATCTTCACCACTCGATCACTTGACCTCGACGCCCCACAAAGACATACAATACAGTATGTACCTCTATTTACACAATACAGTATGTACCTCTATTTACACAATATAGTATGTACCTTTATTTACACAATACAGTATGTACCTCTATTTACACAATACACTATGTACCTCTATTTACACAATACAGTATGTACCTCTATTTACACAATAAAGTATGCACCTCTATTTACACAATATAGTACGTACCTCTATTTACACAATAAAGTATGCACCTCTATTTACACAATATAGTACGTACCTTTATTTACACAATACAGCATGTACCTCTATTTACACAATACAGT